CCTGTTTATGAACTGGTTCTCTCTAAAACAGTCTGGTGACACAATTTCCAAGCTGTGCAGGAAAAGATCCATTTCCCTAGCAATTCCAGCCACTTTCTGCCCAGATGCAGCACTCCTCACATTCCTGGACACAAAACACAGCTGCTGTGGAAGACAGGCCTAGGTGGCAATGGCAAGCTGGAGAAGAGCAGACAGAAATTCCCTCTTTCATGGCAGTGTTTAATCCACAGTACAAAATCAGGTTTGTGACGTATAGGAAGGAAGGAAGGAAAAATAACAGACTTTAAAGACCCAAGTAGCTACCTTGCACAATAGGCTCTGTGAGCCAGCAAAACAAAAGCTTTTGGAAAGAAGGAATAATTTTTCATTCTCTTCTGATGTGGATACTTTCGTGCAATATAGCATAAGTCACTGGGAGCTCTGCCAAAGGCTCTGAGTGCCATGCAGCAATTGTCCCCTTTTCAGCTACCAAGGCAGGAAAAAGGGAAGAGGGAGTGGTTCCACCTGTTCTCCAAGAGAAAAAGTAATCTTACTCTTCAAGAAATCACATCAGCAACTTGCTTGCAACACTTTAAAGCCACAATGGTTTCTTCACCTGCCTTGGAGAGATGGTGGCTCTGGAAAAGCCTCCTTTTAACCTTCCCTGGCTAAGACCACAGTGAGAAAAACTGCAGAGAGATGCAAGAGCATCAGCCCCATGAGGCTCCAGGCAGGTCTGAGCTCACTGCAGGCTAACCCACAATCCCATAGTACCTACACAGTTGTTCTTGTTGAAATTGTTCAAGGAATGAATACACAAAAGAAGTCCCATGGCAAATACAAGAATGTTCAAAGGTAAAAATGAGTGAGGAAGCATAAGGTCTAAACAAAAGCTAGAGGCAAAAATAAAACATCATCATGCTAGAGTGGCTCTAAGAAAGTAGGAAGATCTTCCTCTCCTTTCTGCACTACTTGGCTTCCTCAAAATAAGTTTCTAATCCTAACTCTCCCAGCAAGACAATGAAGTGTGGACAGTTGGCATAAGCATACTTAGAAATTCCTCTCTGCACCAATCTTCTATGCTGTGGTTACCCTTCTACACAAAACAGCTGATTCTTAAAACCTGCAGCATAAGATGAATATAGAGGCAAGGTTGTATATAGCTTATTTAAAAGAGAAAAACAGACACATCCATGCAAAACCAAACAGAAATGGAACAGAAATTACCTTACTATGGTCCTTCTGATATTAAAAACCCAGCATCAACCCAACAAGTGACTATTGTGCTCCAAGGAGAAAGCCAGTACACAAAATACTCCCTGGGCTTTGAGTGCTTTATCCCTTACAGTGGCTTTAGGGAACAGGACTGTTGGCTCCTGGAAGATTCCCAACTGAATATAACATGTCTCCTCATTGCCTTGTTGGTACCACCATTTTCAAAGCAACCACAGCCTTTCTCCTGCTTTGCCATAATATACCAGGATAAAGGTTTTCCAAAGACTATGGAATAAGAAAAAGATTGCATCAACAGAGCCTCCCTTTTATGGTCATTCTGTTGAAGTGCTTATTGCATCACCTGAAAATGCTTCTCACCCTTCCCAATGGCTGCACCATATTCTACAGCTCAAACCCCTACCATGAGCACTTCCCCGTGTTTTGTGAACACATATCTATAATATCTGAAAGTGAACCTACAAGAACAGCATAAAACACATAGAACTGACTATGTGAATAAATACAGAACTGTTCAGTTTTCTTGAATTTTCACCGAAATAATATACATCTCCATTTCTAAAAGCATCAGTGATGCTGCTGTAGTTTTTCAGATGACAGAACAATGGATTGAGTTTCTGTGCTCAAGGCTAGGGCCAAAATGTGACAGGGTAAATGCCTAATAGCAACTCAGTCATATCATTACAATGGCATCTTCCATAAAGAGACAGTTACTCGTGCTCAAAGTTGTCGGACACAGCTTTCCTTTCCTTCTCCCTTCCCCTCCCAGCTCATATAGATACTTGTTTTGTCTAATTAGATGAGCATTTATCTCCTGACATGCAAGAGCTGGCAATACTACAATCATCCTTCCCTCCATCCCTGTTTAACCAGAGATAGTTGAGAGAAAATGATTGCAGAGAAGACAAGTCCTATTTCCCCAGCTCATGCTGCCATAGGCAATCAATTTGGAGCAAAGGTTCCATCTTGAAAATGTCAAACAGAATGAAAAAAGATAAAATCAAAAATGGTAAAGTCAGCTCCAACCATTCCTCTAGGACCAGCTGCTCCCTCGGGTTCTTCTAGCATAGCTGATAGCACAGCTAGAGGAATATCTGCTTTCTGTGCTGACTGGTGCCATGGGGTCCTCAGCCTCAAATTAATTGTCCCTCACCCACTCCAATTCAAGCAAAACTGCTGCAGCATCAGTCCTGCCCACCAGTCTGAAAATAGCAGTCTGCAGTGCATGGCTGGAGCCCTCTCCCTTCTGATCCCCACCCCAGACTACATGCAAAACAACAGATTTCCTTTCCATGCAATATGATTCCCTGCCCATACACCAGGGAGGGAAAATAACCACTGCTGAAATACAGATATGACAAAGGGCAATGGTGGCTTCAGCCTGGAAGAAACATTTTTCTTTACTAGGGTGACCAGGCATTCTGGTTTCACCTTTCCAGTTCCTCTGAAACTCTCCAGGATGCCACTTTGCCCCAGTGTTTCATCAGCAAATACTTTTTACCTATCTTACGCTACAGATCTGAAAAATTACCCATGGCAAGAGAAGGGAAGATTTCCAGGCCTGGGCCCTGTTCCTTTTGCTATTTGTCACAACACTCAGAGAAAGGCAAATTCTGAACAGCAAATTTTTCAGAGGAAAATAATGGCCAGGTTGACTTGGAAACACCAAGATGAGCAGTGGTAAGATGTGCCTTGGATGAAACTAGTCCAGAGGCTTTTGTCTTTTAAAACAAGTCACCGTTCCTACACAGGAAACAGTTATATAGATTCAGTTCACTCTTAAATGCAGTGACCTCCAGAACCTTCAATGGCTAACCCCATATATTAAACACTGTCCATTACACCTAACTGCTCTGGAGAAGAGAGAGCTAGAACAAAGTATTTTTCTCCTTCTCTGTCTTTAGATAAGTAGATTCAAACTTCAGTTCTATCTGCATCTACCTACACTTATCTGACTCATGAACTGGCAAGAAAATTTGGGTCACTCATGCCCACACACACACACGATGTACCCTCCCCAGAAAGGGGACAAGCAGCCTCACCCTGAGTGTCTCAGACCAAATCAGGTATGTAAATGCGTGACAGAGTGTCTAGACTGTCACTTTGGAGACTGACGAATGCCCCAAGGAACATTCCTGTCAGCTGCCAACACACCAAGCTCAGGAACTTGCTGATCCCACCAGGGAAGCACACACCAAGTGTCTTACATGGCCAGGCATATAACGCTCTGCTTGAGCCATTGCTGAGATAAAGATTAACCTTTAGATAATACTTCTGCATTACACCACGAGATTCTCAGTGGATGGTTGCAGAAAAGTCATTGTTTCTCACAACAGTAGCAAAAACACACAAACACACAAAAAAGGCATAAGCAAGAACTCTTCCTACTGCCCTATGAACCCTAACAGACCATGTCTTGGGTGGGGGGTGCATTTCCTTTTTGTCCACAGATGAGCAATATTAACATAAAACTAACACCAGCAGAGAAGACAGGTGGTAGCAGGAAACCTGAAGGGAACCAAACTGCCTGATCTTCTGATTTCAGGGTCAAATGAGCACAGAACAGTATTTTGCAAGACCAATCTCTTACAACCTTCTGAAAGGCACAAATTTAATTATTCCTTTTCTTCATCATGTCACAATAAAAATATGTATTTATTCACACAGACACATTTAGAAAACAAAATAAAAAAATAGGTGGTTACCAAGATCCTCTAGAACATTCTTAATTCTTTACGAGATTTGACCAGGCAGACCTACAAGCACTAACGAATCACAAACCACATCTGACCTCACCAATGCAGGAAATTGATTATTATATTGCACCTTCTCCTCCCCAGAGTTTAGAGGGACCTTCCCAACGTAACAGTCACATAAGGCAGGATTGAAACAGACTGAAAAGCCCTGGGAACAACCAGAGGTCTAACATTTCTCTGACTGACACAATCTGGACAGTAGCAGCTCACTACCACCTTTCAAGGTTTTCAGTCACAGTCAACCCCTGGCACCTTCAAGGAGCTGTAAAACTGCTTCCACCAAGACAGAGGAACTCGGGACATTTATCAGTCCCCATGACTATGCAGTAACAAAAGAAGTTGCGGTGGCTTCCTTCTTTGTGAAATCCTTCCTCCTGTATTTTATCAGTGAAAACCCTTTTCCATCTCCAAGATGGGAAAGAGACAAGATTTAAGGTCAGCCAATACATCCCAAGGCAATTCCATCCCTGTCAGATCTTGTTGCTTCAGCAAATGTTACAAGTTGGTGACCACTGGCTACAATTATCACTGAGGGCTAAGCTACTTCCTTGTGCTTGAAGGGTGCAGCAATTCTCTTTCTCCATCTTCAAAGGAGAGTGATGCCACACTCACCCAGGAGCTGCTGGCAGCAGGACATATTCTACAATAAAAGCCAGCAATGAATTCTCCTGGAAGCAGGAAACTCAGCAGCAGCATCAACTGCATGAGAATTCACTCACATACAGAGCATTCTACTGAATTAAAAAATAGGGCATTGATTTTGTTATTAATTTTTGTATTTAACTCAACATTAATCTCTGCATACGAATGCCTTTTCCCCACTGCCACTTTCTCATGCCTCAGCAGAATTTCTAGTCAGCAGCAGAAACAGAGATGTAGGTCCTAAGAACAAATCGATCCGTCTGCTACAAACTGTGTGTGAGATGAGGGCTCTGAGCAGCCTGTCAGTCAAAGCTTCTGCTCTCATTTATCAGTGAGCACCTCCCTTGGGCTGCAGGCGAGGGGAATGGAGCAGAGAGCCAGGACACTTACGCAAGGCGTGCCACTCGTCCTGGCGGATGGTCTTGGTGATGTTGTAGGTAAGGTTCTTGGGAATGGTCGCTGAGGAGTAGTGGTACTTGATGTACGTGCACCGCTCAATTGCTCCTGGAAAAGGCAAAATGCAGAAGAGAAAGTGCTGTTACATGAATGCAACACGTCTTCCCAGATGTAGACCAGATGACAACCAAAAATAAAGCCTAGATGCAAAGCAATCCCTACATTCAGCCCACTGTGATAACCAGTGCCATCTGTGGCCCATGATGGGCTTCCCTGTAGGGTAAGCTCACACCCAAACTTAAGATACAGGAAATTATCTTCCACACATTCCAGGAACATCCAAGACAGGCCCTGTTGTAGCTGCCAGAGTGTCTGCTTTCACCATCAGATACATATGTGGCAAACTGCCCCTTCTTTCATGTCTTTTCTCTGAACCATGAGCTAGCAGCAGCCATAACAATATTTTATGTGTAGAAACTGTAAACACATCTTAGTTTGTGTCTCAATGCCCATACACCAGGAGATGCACAAAGGAAAAATCTTTGATCTTTCCTCAAGTAATAAAAACCAACACAGGAAAAAAATAATACATGTAGGTAGTGAACAATTTTCCTGACCCCTTTCTACCCCACAGCAGAAGGATGTGTGGCAGGCTACAGGATGTCTCAAAGGTATCCAGACACTTTTATAGCAGGTTCAGAAACAGAATTTATTGGCATCCCTGAACAATGAGCCTCAGATGGCAACATGAATGGCTGAAATGGGCAATTTTTTTCCCCTGTAGTCAGGATTTCATCTAATGTTCCATGGGAAAAAGCACCACGTGCTGCTTCTGTTGTCTTCTGGTAACATTATTACATTCTCCTGTTACAGCCACTTTCCTTCCTGTACAATAATCACACCTCCAGGCCCTGATCTCCTGGCATCTCTCTGCGTAGTTAGTGTCCTTAGAGGAATGGGTCTGGCGTAGTCTGATGCTTTCCATGAATTATAGCCTAGCCAAATCCTACATTCCTTTTGCCATCATTCTCAGCTGACACTGGCTTTATTAGACCTTCTCCCTAAGCAGTCAGATTCAAAGCTCATGAAAGCCATTTTTCCATTAACATTATGGTATTTTGGATCAGGCCATTGGTAACTAGATAGGTATCCTTAATGTGGTTGGCCAGGCTGTTGGTTACTAGCTAGCACTGGTCAGAGAAGCAGCTATGCTGGAAATGCTTTTATGTATTAAAAATGCATTAAGACAAGCACTCAATAGAATAAATTAAAAGAAGCAATGAATTATATAAACAATAAAGAGTGCTATACACAAAGAGGCAGGTAGAGAACACTCACTGTCAGCCTGAACTGAAAAGGCAAACCCATTAGCCTTATATCGACAGCTCCAAAGGGTAAAATATGCCTTTATGCCACTAGAAATACAGGTTTCTACTTCGGGTTGTAAAATACTACTTGGCATGAACATAGATCATAGACTACAAATTCACAGCATGAATAAGAAAACCCATGAAACAAAACTATTAGTTACATCACAGCCTACTAGCATCTTCCAAAATTAGTGCAACATAAACATTTAAGGTCCTCATTGTTTGCTCCTCTTAAGCATTCTCCACATTCTGCCTTTGACAGCAATTAGATTAGACAAAGCCAAATATTATAGGGGGAAAAGGCAAAATATTTACATATGCATCCGCCTGCCCTGACAGCGTGATGGGTTTCTGTGTGAGTCTGCACCATCTGGGCACCAAATGTACGCCCAGAATTAAAGTTTCAAACTAAGAATAGTATTTGAAAAAAAGACAGCTAGTGTGCAAAGAGCTTGAAAAAAAATCCCCAAATCACCACCTTTCCTTCCCATAGGTTTTCCTATCCCCCTTTATTCAGTTGCTTTCATAGATCAGAAGCATTGGCAAGAAAACAAAAAATGCTTATTTGCCAGAAAATAATCTTTAAGTTATCAGATACCTGCCCAGGCAAGAGATTTATATAGAATAGCAGAAAGGGACACAGAGCCAAGATTCAAAATAAAAGCTTACAGAAGGAAGGAAGAAAAAAATCCTGTTCCATTTGCTATAATTTCTTACAGTAATCAGCAGAAAGCAGCTCCTCTGAAACCAAAGAAGCTAATTTCTAGCAAGGTCCATCAGACTTTTCATTCTGCAAATACTGTTAGTAGTAATGCAGTGAGCTGCTCACTATCTGATATGACCAAAGCAAAAGGAGAAAGAGAGATTATGGTCTGAATTCAGGTCATCACTTCACCATATCTGTAATTTGAAGCTTACACTTACTTCCCACGGCTTTAATGAGACTTAAGTTCATATAAAAATACCTTTGGGAGCACTACCAAGCAGGGTGGGCAAATACAGCACTTGGCACAGCAGCTCACAAAGGGCATGCAGGAAGGGCACTGGGGTCCTGCCAGCCTGACCAGGGAGCAATGGTGTCCCCCAACAGAGAGCCACAGTGTCTCTAAGCTCTGCACCCACCAGAGCTGGTGCAGCTGCCCAGGTAGAGCTCCAGGGGGAACATGCTGCCAGCAGACACCAGCTGGGGGAGTGCCCTGCCCTTAGGCCAGTACTGGCTGCAGCACTGAGCACCCTGTGAGAGGTGCACCCTGGTACAGGAACATCTCTGTTCAGTGACAGAGCTCCAGGAGAGGGGAGTAGGTTTAGGGGTACCAGGGAGAGAGTTTAAAAACTGTCTAGTACAAAGTGCAACTGCAGTGACAATGATTCAATGGCAGCTGAAATACAGAGAGATTTTTTAATGGAAAATTCCATTATTATCTCCTTTCCAGCCACACAATATGTTTCAACACTTTTCCCACCTCTAAATAACATGCTATTAGCCAACAAACATCGTGACAGTTTGGAGAGACCAGAAGGTAAAATGCTCTTCAGTGTACATGGTGAGATATGCTCTCCTTTTTCCCCAACTCATCTCTGAGTTGGCCACTGCATGGACTCAACAGCTCTGGACAGAGTACCTGTACCTGGGAATTGTCTCCACTGCTCATCTTAACTGGGGAAACAGACCCCCAGGTGACATAGACAAGGATGCTGCTTCTGGATTTTCACCCTTCTCTGAAGCATTAAGCATAGGTTCAGTGCTAGAATAGGTAAGCCTAATGAATTATTACTTTTTTTGATACAGGGCTCAAAATAATTCAGCCTAATCCATGTCACTGGACTCAGTAAATGGGTAAGTGGGTGAACCATATGGTCTCTGATATACTCGAGGCCAGCCTGTGTTAGCTAACGGGCCCTTCTGGCTTTAGGTTACATTAATTCTCCTGTGAATACTGAGTTTAATTCACTCAGGAGAATGTAGTTCAGGCTGTTTCAGAGCTGTCTTGCAATAGCTTCCAGCACTCAGGTACTTCAGGCTCTAGAACCACAGCATCCACTGGGGAGGACATGCAGCCATCTTCATCCACATGGCCACTGCAGATAGAAACAGGCAAAATCTTACTGGAAACTCGAGCTTTTCATGCTCCAAAATGACTGTGTTTGTGATTGCTTGGCATTTAAACATGAACTATTGTTTTAAACCCACTCCCACTAGTGTAGGAGAGTGACTGTGCTGAGTCAATGCAACTATACCAGTATATATCTAACTAGAGGTGACAATTCACTTCTGAAACTTAGAAAAAGGCTTTCATTTGCCTGAACCTGCAAATAAAAATTAGCACACGGATGAATTGATGGCAGCAATAATTTCGTACTTCTGATGTTTCCCTACTTGCCCCACACAGAAGAGAACAAGGCTCAAGATGCCCAGACATCCAGCTCCTGAAAGTCCCTGGAAGAGCAGCAGCAATGACTAGTTGGACTAGTGACTAGTCCAACATAAGTGGACTTGATATCAGAGGTCTTTTCCAGCCTTAATGATTCTGTGATTCTATGACTGCAGTAAGGCTCAGAACTATTGCTCTCCTGGAAAGTGCTCTCAGAAAAAAAATCTACAAAATCCTTACCTTCAGAAGAATTAATAGCTGTGCTCACTGCAGTCCTTTGGGTAGGAGGCAAAGCAAACTTTCCCTTCCATACCCTCAAAAGGGTAACTGCAATTTATGGAGGACCTCCAGCCTTCAGCACTAACTTAGAAAGACCAAATGCAACTGCAGCTGAGCTCTGCACTTTGCTCAAATAACTAGGATCAATATTTATAGAGCAAACCAGTGAGTGGTTTTTTTTCACCTGTGCAGCTGCCATGGCAAGAGTTAGAGCTGGTCATGAGTAACACAAAACCACCACAAAGCTGTTCCACTGAGAGATGAAGTATATTCCATGTTACTCTGACCAGAGGGAAATGTTTGCTGAAAATCCTAAAGAAAAGTAGCTGACATCTTCAAATGGAGTGGTAAGAAAAGGATCAGCCACACAGAGCAAACCTCTGCCACACCATCACCACATAAGCACAGATGCTCAGCAGCTGTTAACTGTGGTTAACTCCCCTGTTCTAGCAAAGGTCAGGAGACACATTACAGGAAAACAGAGATTGCTTCATCCTGAGCAGCTAAGTATTCACAGCATCAAACATGCCACTCCTCCTACTGATCCACTTACCTGCTCAGCTCCCTTCCCATATCTGTTGATCATTGCTCCATACTATCACTTTATTGTTCCATAATATTTCCTCTTCTCTCCATTACAAGAAAAATCTTTAACCTGTGCTATAGCAGAAATATCACCTGAAAACACCGACTTTTTTTCTATTCAATTTTCAAAACTATACCAATGTCCTGATGTGAATTCAGCTGCTGGTGAAACTCAGCTCCCACTGGATTCCTAGGGCTGTAAGCACTACCCCATAGAGACCCCAAACTGTTTGGTAATGCAGGGAGTGACTGAACCATTATCCAACTCTAAATTCAACAGGGTTGAGATAAATGAAAAGTAAGGTCATACTGCTGTTGTCCATACTTCATTTGTCTGGTGGAAAAACAGACAACTCTTTTCAGAACTTTTGGGTCAGTCTTTTTTCATCACCACCCCCTTAAATATAATTTTTAAACTCCTCATAACTACTTCAAGAAACAGTCTTGACCCATGGTTAATTTAAGAAATAGAATGGAAACTCAAAATGCCACCAAGGTATTG